TTAAGTGACGTAAAATGTTATGACCAGATTTGTTTTATTTTCAAATTACATCTTTTCAGTGCAGAAACTAAGTAATGTTTGTTTCAAAATATTTAAAATAAACAATTTGATTTTCTTAAAATAAGTTTTGAAAAAATTATAACTGATTTTTAAAAGAATTTCAAACCGAGATTTTCATTTTTTTTTTATAAAATGGTTAACATGATTGATTATCTATCAATTTTGCTGACACAAAAAAAAAAACAAAACAAACAAACAAACAAAACAAACTTTGATCTTTCCTCTTTACTAAAAAGACCATAGCATGATGAAAAAGACACCAAACTTTACGAAAACAAAATTTTATCGTCTAAATGTTGAAGTTATTATTAAGAGGAAAGATCAAAGTATTTTGGAAGGTATATTTTTTTTTTTTTACATTTCTTGACTGTTCCTAGCATGTCCAAAATCTGTTTTTTTTTGGTTTTTTTTTTTTGAGTCATCAAAATTGGTAGATAATCATGGCAACCATTTTTTCTATTTTATATATATATATATATATATATATATATATATATATAAAAAAACTTAAAATCAATTATTTTTTCAAAACTTATTTTAAGAAAATCAGAAATTATATTTATTTAAAATATTTTTAACCAAGCTTAACTTAGCCTTTCCACCAAAAAAATGTAGTTTGAAAATAAAACAAAGCAGGTCATAACCTTTCGTGTCACTTGACAGGTGACGAAAGGCTTACATGACGTTTTGATAGCTTACATAAGGATAATTCCTTCTACAGAAGGAGAGAAGTGAAGTTATTTAGATTTAAGTGAACAAATTATTTACCTCGTTATTTTTAAGGAATACTTTCAGCGGTCAAATTTTTTTTTTTTTGTACTTAGCTTTCACCTTTACGTTTACAATGCTTTATGGAAAATATATTATAAAGAAATTAAAATAAGACTTAAGAGTGAGATTAAATTTCATAAGAAAGGTATCTAATTTGTAAGTACCTTTCTTATGAAATTTTATCAGAAGTGTACATAAAATACTATAATTTTATGTACATTTATTTCATTTTGCTGTGTTATTTGTATTTCCATTCATTTCATTAATTTTGATATTTCATTTATGGAAAAATGCCATAACCGAGATTAATATAAAAGTAAGATCATATAAATTTCATAAGATGATACTGATACTTGTAGGTATCCTTCTCAGTTGAAATTGAAAAATCAAATTAACTTCCACACAGGTTTCGCAAAAGTAAAGGCCTTAACAGCAGAGAACAATGCTTAACTCAAATAACGCAACTTAATTGTATTCTGGTTGGTCTTCTGTACTTTATAATTAGAGCCCAATTATAAACACAAAATTACATTTCTTAATTACTGTGGATCTTCAGATCCGTCAAAATGATACAATTTACAACACGCTAAAAAAAAAAAAAAAAAAAAAAAAAATCTCACAAGGACACTTACAAAAGCAGACGCGGCTTTTAATTAATTTAATAATATTTTAACAACTTAAATAAAAATCTATTATAATTAAAGAAATAAGAAATTGTATTAAAAATTCATTTTTCAAAAAAATTTTGCTTTCAGAAAATATTGTCCATATTCATAAAAACAACTAAAAACAAAAAAAAAGCATTTCAAATAATTAATATCTTTTGTCTTATTGAGTTTTGTATGTTACAATTCAGAGCTGATTTTGAGGTGTGTGTGTGGGGGGGCTGTTCCAATTAAAAAAAAAAAAAAAAAAAAAAAAAAAAAAAAATATGATTTCCATCCCTCAAATCCTTGTGCTTTTAACTATTGTAATCACTAAACTGGATTCGATCGAATTTCTAGTTTTCATAAAATTAGTTATTTGGGCGGGGGGAATAAATATAAAATAATTTCTGCCATGATTTATAATAATTTCCATTATCTATGAATAATTTCATTAACATTCGGCAATTTTATTTTTGTAAGATTTTCAAAATTAATGTGTCAAAAAAAAAAAAAAAAAAAAAAAAAAAAAAAACAAAACGCGCTAAAAATTGTACATGTTATTTTACTAGTTTCGATGATACAAAAAAGAGAAACGAGGTTTGTTTGTTTTTTTTAATCGAAATTTACAATGTTCTAAAAAAGGAAAAAATCTTAAAAATATATATATAAAAAAAAAACAAAAAAAAAAACAAAAACACTTTGGCCTTTCCTCTTTTAATAATAAACATTTTTTAGACGATAAAATTTTGTTTGCGTCAAATTTGGCGTCTTTTTCGTCATGCTATGCTCTTTTTTAGCGATCGCATGGAGGTACCTAAAACTAGTATGCATACGGAATTGAAAATTTGTAACAACTGACAGCAGAAAGAAAAAAAAAAAAAAAAAGCCAATCCTCTAATAATAATGAGTTAAATGATTTGCAGAGATAGTCGAATTTAGGTTATTCCAATCCAGAACTAGTCAGTAAATATTTGACTGTTCTGTTTTACGAAAACCGGTTCTAAAATGGAACAGAAGCGCATTAGATTTTTGAAAACCTACAGAAGCTGGGTAGTGCAATAAACGATTTAAAAATGAAATGTTTGGCCATAACTTGCCTTTTTAATCTAACTTAACCCCAAATAAATAACGAAAAAACACAAAAGAACGTGTATTTTTATTTTATTACTATTTTTTTTCCCAAAGAACCAGGAAAAAATATGAATATTTTCTTAATCTTAAATAATAGCTTATATATTAGATTTAAAATGATATAATTTTTTTTTTAGAGAAAACTAATCTAATCAGCACACGAAGTAAAAACTGCAAATCCGAGTGAACTACAAAATACAAACAAGTAGTAACTGACCACCATCCATTTCAGCAGCAAATCAAAATTTGGCTTCTTCGTCGTTAACCATTTAACCAACAACTTTTTTTTTCCGCAAGTATTTTTAAACGAATTATTGAGTCTTTCAATAAACATCACGCAGAGTTGATGTGTTTTTTCAAAAATTTTAAGAATGGGGAAGATTTCTCAAAATATAACCACAGACAGCGTCAAACGATTGATATCATTTTATATTTTAAAAAAAAAGCAACACATAATGAAAAATATTTTATTTGACCTATATTTAAAAAAAAAAAAAAAAAAAAAAACTGTACTCAGAGAGCGCCAAGAATTTTTTTTCCTCTTCATGTCTAATACTCGACAGATTAATAAAAATAAAAAAGTCAGTTCAGGCCAAACATTGGATGTGGACAAAAAAAAAAAAAAAAAAAAATCTATGAAATTGAGTACAGAATAAAATCTGTACTCAATTTTATGGATCCCCCCCACCACCACATTTTAACTAAATTTTATGTGAACAATTTAATTTTCTTATTGCGTGATATTGAACTGAACTGTATTTGCAAAGAACGGCTGTTTGCTTTTAATGTTTTATTGTCTTTTAGTCTTTACTCTTGGTTTGGAGTTGCCCCGATTGCTTACAGTAATTTTTTTGTGTGTGTGAACAGACAATACTGTAGTATACAATCACCTTGAATAGAAAGGAAAAAAAAAAAAAAAAAAAGCATACATTATTTTTCCCCACCATCTTTAAAATAAAAAGATCCTTTATAGCTTTAAAAAGAACACTGAAAAGGAGGAGTTACTTTTGTTTTGTGAAATGAACATATTTTTTCATTTCAATTATTGTTCATGCAAACTTTTCCTAACTCGTTACCAGTGTTCGATTTTCTGTTAGAACTAAGATTCCGAATGCTGATTTTCAAAGCAGACAGGTGTTCTTTCCGTACGAGGAAGATCGGCAAGTAAATAAATACCATTTCCCTATTCACATTTAATATTTGGCTCTGTGCCATACATTGTTAAACTATACGTGCTTTCAATTCTTATAGCTATGAGGTTGTCTTTGGGAGAAAATACTGTTAGGATCTGAATTCTTTGTGAATGAAGACGACGTAATTTGAAGCATTCTGACATTTACTGCCGTTTTCCGTATATTGAGAAAGGAAACACTTCATCTTCAATTAATTAAAGTAAAACAAATTTTAAATAACTAAAAAATGTGCATATCAAAGCTTTTTTGTTTACTGTTCCTAGTGTACGCTTCAGTGTATGGTTTACTACTAAACTAGTAGTAGCTTTGTTTACTTACAAAGAAAACTTTAATGATGAATTTTTCCATATAAATTTAATTATAGTGCATTTAAAAAAAAAAAAAAAAAAAAAAAAAACTTGTTTGAATTTTAAAACAATGTAAAAAAAAAGAGAACAGCTAGAAAAAGCTAAAATACTAAAAATCTTTTTAAATTACAAATTATTAACACCTCTAGTCTTCCTTATTTTAGCATTAACACACAAAAAGGAATTAGAATAAATAAAATCAGACACAAAACACTAAATAACGTAATTTTCAAATCTAAGAAATTTTTTTTTGGCCATTTTATTTTTTAGTCTTCAGGTAAAAATTTTAAAGTTTATCAACAAAAAAAAAAAAAAAAAAATTCTTTGCAGTGATTTAATAATTTTATGAAATTATATTTCATTAGCATTTAAGAACTTAGGAGAAAAACAATGATTAGTAGTCGTGAATTCTTAACCTTAAATTGACTTAAAATTTAAAAAAAACTAATAAAACTAAAAGTAACGCATGGGAAAAGCAAGTGTTATTTGAAAATTAAAGCAGAAAAATTACGATAGAATCAAACTTAATATCTTTAACTTTAACGCCATAGTCTGAATATAAGTTACGAAAAACAAGCTGATAATAAAAAGTAAAAAAAAGTTAGAACGTGTAGAGAAATTGAATAATCAGGGTGTGTCAATTTTCGTGCCACACAAACATTGAGAAGAAAAGAAATTGATTAAAAAGAAAAAAAAAAAAAGACAGGGGCGAACATTTTGCGAGTCACTATATCATTAGTAACTCGTAATATCATTATTTTTTTAAAGACAAACAGACAAGAAATGCAAACGGTAAATGTTTACTTTCTTTGGCCGAAGCCCGCTTGAAAAACAAGAGATAATTTAAATACCTAGTTTTACGTGAAGAAGATCTTTGCTGGAGTAGCGTTGAGAAACTGTCACGTGATATGCCTGCCAACACTAATTATCTACCCTTAGGTGCTACGTCAAACCACCAATAGGTTTTCCTCGTCAATTTTAGCTTATATATCTATACGCGCACACATACACACACACACACACATATATATATATATATATATATATATATTATACACACACATGCACACAATACACATTTTATCTATACACACATATTCGTCTTAGTGAATTATTTTCTCTTTAATTATTAGGGTGATATTTTTTATGTCAAAATTGTGGTCAGTCTTGTTATGGTGAGCAACTAATGCGACTTTTTTTTATTCAGCACTTTGTCCATTTGACACTTCGTTTATTCGATACTTCGTCCATTTGACATTTTGTCCATTCATCATTTTTTCTTTCAACACCTTGTCCTTTGACACTCTGAACTACTACATTTTATAAAATATCTCTATGGTAAGTGTCCACTAATTTCAATACCACAATAGCATTTCTTTTTTTGTCAGTTCTATAGACTTGGTGGAAATTTTTTGCTTTGCTAGTTTACCCATCCCAACATACTATTTTGTACCAAATACAATTGCTGTCTGTCATTAGTTATGTTGGTGAGAATTTTTCAGATTATAGGGAATGTAAGATTTTTAAAAAAATTATCACAAGTGCGAAGAGTATAGCAAAAATTATCACTAATTCATTTTTGCTTATACAAAAATTATGTATTCTGGTAAAAAAAAATCTAAGGCATGTTGTGTTTGTTTGTTCAGTGGCATATCAACTTCTTATGGGTCATTTAATCCTGAAATTGAATTTTCTTGGCGGCATTAGTAATTTATTTTACAAAAATGTATTGCTGGTAATTTTTTTACTATGAAAATGTATTGCTGGTATTTTTACTATAAAAATGTATTTTTATACTTTCATAGTATTTTGACTCCAGTTTAGGGGTTAACTATTTGCCCATAGCTGGGACCCTAACAGGTGCTACCACCCCAGGTCAGAGTGGACTTGGGAACAGCAGCAATTAAGAGATGGTTCCATGCTCCTCAAAACATCCCAAGAGTCCTTGCTGCCAGATGTAGTTTATCATCATACCCAGGATGGGCATGTTGTGTATGCATTGTGTATATAGATCTTTTACAACTGAATGATAAACTTATTTTGCCACAATTAGTGTTTTCACATAAAAGCCAGGGAGGAATAAAATGATGAAAATGAGTTTAAAAGCACTCTATTTATATATTGATACAGCATTCATGGTTTTATGATAAAATGTTTTCTTAGGAACTGCCACATTTGGCCTGGTGGTCCTGCTATATCCTAATTCTTCATAAAATCCAAAGAAGAATTTGCAATGTTATTAGTCCTACCACCATAACGTAACTTCTCTGTGCCTTTTCTATAAATACTTTCATGGTTAATATTCTGATGAACTTTCATCTTTGGTAATATTCTTTGGGGCTTCATTTTTAAAAGTTATATTATTCTCCACCTCCCACATACAAATTGTACATATGGGAACTAGTTAGGACTTCATAGAGACTTTGAGGTATTATGATGGCTGTAGTAAGAATAGTAAGTAAGAATGTATTGTTTTGGTGTAAGGAATACTGTGGTATGTTTGGGTCAGTAATTGTGGCTAGCTAAGTTCAAGATAAGACAGATTGAAGACCAGCCTTAACCTATCCCCCACTTTTGGGCTTATGCCACATTTTTGTATTTTTTTAAAATGAATATTACTTTCCCCTTTGGTACATTGACTTCATGAATTTAAATACAGTACTAAATTGGCAGCAAGGCCTCATCATTTACAGTTGAATTGGCAAGATGCAACCATAAGTTTTATGCTAACAGTTTCTTCTATAGCATTTCTTATTTGTGGAACTCTCTTCTGGATTCTTGCTTCCCAGTTAACTTCAAAATTTTAAGTGTAATGTCAATCGTTATCTTCTGTATTCTTACTTCCTGTTCTTTTGTTCTTCTTTCTCCTTAATAATGTTTTTTCTTATATTCTGTAACACTAAGTACCTCTTGTTTTTGAGTGTCTTTATTGCTTTGCTTGGGGTGAAATGATTAAAAAAAAACTATTACTAATCCTTTATTTTATTGATATATAGAAGAATTTATGGAGGTTATCTTATGACAAGTTCATTCCCACCATATATAGTGCTTATTTGGTTTGGGTGTATATTGGCCTATTCTAATGATTAACAGAAAATATACAGAGTGTTGAAAAATACTAAATAAATCTTTATATATCACAATATAATAATACAGAAGGATAAGGTGAAAATTGAAGTTTCAAGAGTTGAAGTGTACAAATCCGGGTGAATGGAAATGAGAGAAAGAGGTGAAGGAAAGTATGTATGTTTTCAAATGTAGCAGTGGGCTGCTTAAAAGGTTATGTAAAAAAAGGGTGTATGTTTTCAAATGTAGCAGGATGGCATAGCCATCTCAGGTTGCCAGCTGGTTGCATTTCAGCACTGTTTATGTTATGTTGATCGCAGCATTGGAGAATGGACAGCATTATTTATCAATTCTTGTTTTGGTTGATTTTGCATTTTATTATAAAAAATCTCTAAAGATCTGCTTTGAAAGTGCTACTCTGATTCTCAATGGCTCATGGCCATATATCCTGGTTGTGAAAACGTTCTGATTGGTCGAAATATGACAATGTGGCCTGGCAATTCTGAATATACATCTATTTTTAGAGATGGGGAAATTTTGGTCTCTTTGTTATTATTTATTTTTCTATCACCATAGATATATTGGTCGCTTTTACATTATTTTCCGATTTTTTTCTTGTACCTTGGTTGTGAAAGCTTTCTGATTGGTTGGTCAAAATATGGCTTTGTGGCATGGTGATTTTGAATACACATCTATTTTTAGAGATGGCAAAATTTAGGTCTCTTTATTATTATTTATTTTTCTATCACCACAGATATATTGGATCGGAACAAAAAGTTTCTAGTGGTTTTAAATAAATTTCAAAGACAATACTTAGACATCTGTATATAGATTTATTCAACAACATATGTGCCATTTTGTTCTATTATTTTCTGCAATCTTTGAGACAACTTCATGATTTCATCCTCCCAGAAGTTAACATTTTTCTGGGTCTAAGTGGTTTTTACCGGCTTCCACAGAAGTGAAGATCTTCCCATTAAGAGAATTTTGTAGGGATCAAAATAAGTGGCAATTTGAAAGTGCAAGATTTAATGAGTACAGTGGGTGTAGTACGGCATCCCAGTCAAACTGTATCAATTTCTGTCATGTCTGCAAAGAGACATGAGGTCTGGCATTCTCCTAATAGAAGATGACACCTTTTCAGTTGACCTACTCTGAACACTTTTCATTGACTGCAGCCTTTAAAAACAATACAACTGAGAACAATATTTATCTGAATTCAATATCTGATTTTGCAAAAAGAACTTTTAATTCCCATAGATAAACAACATCACCTTCTTTAGATACAGACTGACTTTCGGACTGGTTAACAATTGCTCATTTCACTTTCTTCAAGGTCTTTTTCACTTCACATTGTTATAAACAATTCATCTTTTATCACCTGTGCTTGTTCTTTTCTAAAATGTGTAATTTTTGTTGCATTTAAGCAATTTTTTTTTTTACATTAAAGTGTGGAGCACCCAAACATTATAGTGATTCACATATCCAAATGTTTTAAAATGCTTAATAACACTCATATAAGACTTGTGGATAGCACCTCGATGTGGTGTGATGGTTAGCAAGCATTTTTTGCTAGAACAATTAAGACTGAGTAGTGAGTTCGATCATCACTGAGTGCCCCATACTTTCAGCCTTGTGCCACATCTAAGCTACACTTAGAAAATCACCATATGGGAATATCTCTGATAGGTCAGGTGTCATGTAACCAGGATTCTTTTTAATCAGTATCCCGTTTTGGTTATTGTTAATGACTGCATGCCTTCTGGAATGTTAGATCAAAATTTCCATTTCTGAACTTAGCGAATCACATATATGAATGGTACTCTCAGCTATTGCATCATCTCCATAAATGTCACTTATCTTTTTTCCTGTTTTTTTTCATTTCCATCAATAAAAGAGTATGAAGTTATGAAAATGCACCTCATTTTCTTCCAGTTTCACTATTGGCTAAAAACATCTTAAAATCCCAATCAACCCACAAATCCTAGAGAAAGCTATGTTGAAATGTCAACTTCCAGTATATGTTTGTCACAAAATATTTGGAAAGCATGGATAAAAATGCCTGTAATAAGATTTAGTGTCAAAAGGAAGGTTTTTGTCATGACACAGCATTTTTAAATATCTTCATTCTTCAGCAATGTTTATAGTTTTAAAAAGTGATGATTAGAATTGTAATAAAACTTAAACATATGAAACTGAATTTATACAATTTCTTTGTCTTTGAGAACTGACAACAAAAATAATAAAAACTATTTATTTATTAGAATCTTTATTTATACCATTTACTATATAGTTTATTGGAATGGTTGGCAAATTATTGGCTAATTGCCAAGTGATTCAAACTTTATAAAATAGTAAATAATAAGCATTTCACATTTAGTTCACATGTTTTAGTAAGTGTTTATAAATTTACAAATAAAAATTGTTTTCATATTTTTTCTTTATAATTTGGTAAATGATAAATATTGTATTTCATTAGTTCTAATTAATTGTATTATGTTTTAGAATGTTGTAAATATAAAATTATTCTTGTAAATAATCTAATAAATAAATAGTGTTTAAGGTTTAAACACTGTTGGAGAGAATATTTTCTTTATTAAATTTCCTTGTGTGCAGACCAGTAGACATAATACACACTGTTTGGAATTAAAATAAAAAATAGGGCATCTATTTCAAACATGGGTATCCACTAAAAATAATGCTTGAAATAACAAAAATAAATCTATTAATTCTTAATATATATGTGTGTGTGGACATTGAGGTCAACACCCAACAATGACAGATGACCTGAATGTCCAGTTTTATATTTATATAGGCTCTATCCCTAATATTGAGCACTTTAACCCATAAATATAGCATACCTTAAAAGTATATTTTTATCATATATATATATATATATATATATATATATATATATATATATATATATAATGATAGCTGGCCACTCGTATTTGAGGATACCCGTCTATTAGGGCAGCTAGCCAATCCCTACTGCAGACTCGTGCTCAGGCACATTTGTGTGGTTTATACTGCAACTATGCTAAGCAGACCTTAGTTACAGTTTCTGGGGGAGAGTGTGTTACCTAGAATGATCAACAATCTAAACACCACCAGCACATTCAAACTCTCAGTCACGATGACTTGTGACTTTGTGCTAGCACGGCTATCAACAGCCTCAAAGTATTCCATCTACCCAATTTCACTCACAAGGCTTGGGTCAACCCATGGTATGGTTTTCAGGCACTTTCCAAAGGTGCTGTACGCTAGGATCATCACCCCTTCAGACTGATAACATCAGGAAGTCTCCTTCCTGACAAATCAACCATAGTGAGATTTGAACCAGAGTTTCATGGTGAGAAAGCGAATGTTATAACCACTTGGCCACATGCTCATATATATTAATTAATATAAAATTAATGTGAGCAAAATTTGTCACTTAGTTGATTGATGTTAAATTCAGCATCCCCGACTCCAAAGTTTCATAGACAGACCTGTCCATCCACTCTTCAGGGGATATCAGCAATTTACTGCTTATATTTTTCAATTTTTTTTTTCTTTTTATGCACATTTATATCCAAAAAAATTTTAAAAATTTAAAAAAGAAAAAGAATCAACAAGCTGTGTTTGTTTAATTTTTTTCATTGTATTTTTCCAAATTTTGGATTAAGTTTTATGTTGGGATCCAAACTGTGAACAAATTGTCTAAAGTTCAGGCTTATATTGTTGTTTGATCAAGTAATGTTCGACTATCTTAGTCATTTTCAAGAACCAGTGTGGTGTCTGTATGGAAGGGAAACTTCCTTTTTGGAGCAGCCACTCTCCCAATATCATTACACATGACATCACTGTAGACAATCTAGAAGTTTAGCTTTCCAAAGAATAACAGGATGTAGACAAAGGAATTCTGTCTACCACACAGACACCACATCTGATCCCACTTGATTACTTTAATTTTTTTTTCCAAACTCTTGTTTTTATCTTTTTTAAATTACTAAATATATATATATATACACACAGACGAACACCTCTTCTACAGACTCCCCAGTTACTGACTTTAGATGCAATAGACAAAATCTGCAGGCAGAATAAAAAAAAACAATATTGCAGAGAAAAAAACTTCAAAATCATCAGCGATGTCTTTGAAATTTTACGGGCTTAGTGGAATGAGTCGTATTAGTTCTCAAAGTGACCACTTGGCGGGCCTTTCAATTGTAAACAAAGATGGGTGTAGAGTATATAAAGTACAATACATTAGCATAGCTGTGAGAAAGTTATTATTTTTATTATTTTGATTAATTGTTCTGCTCTTGTCATGGCATTGAAGCAGAAGGAAAGTGTAAAAAGGAAGCATAAAAACCTAAGTATCAGTGACAAATTAGAGTTTCTTCCATCTACAGACAATTGGCTTTAACGAACCACTCCTCCCCCCATTAGTTTTAGCTGTATTAGGAAAATCAATGACAAAGTAGAAAACATTTTTCCACTGATACATTTTGTCTTTTAGCACTTCAATGGCGTAAAGCAGGGGTTCTTGACCTTTCTAAGGTTATTGCCCTTCTTTGGTATTTTTTGAGGTTATTGCCCTTGCACATTTATAAAAATATAAATGAAAATATTTTACTTACATTATTTTTTAATGTAATCCTTGTGATTGATGCATTGCTGCTAGAAATTTAATATTTGGTTTGAAATTTCTAAACTTTAGTCTATTGTCTCCTCAAGTACATATATCAATTTCATTTCTTTCTTTGGTCAAGATTTTATTGATTGCACTGAATCCGCATTCAAACAAATAAGAGGTTGGAAAGTGCAGCAGTATTTTAACCATTTCAAATCACATGTTCAGACACATCTGTTTCGATGTATTTAACAGCCATAATTCTGTTATTCTGCTGCTTTCAAATTTGTATTTGAATTCATCATTGTTTCAATTCAATAAGTTCTTCCTGCATATTTTCACTGACAGCTTCTATGTAACAACTGAAGGGATCCATCATTTATGGGTGAACCTCGAACGAAAATAAATCTGAAAATCAGCTACTTAATTTGTCTTTCAATTTCACTAAATATTCTGTGTGCTTTTTACTAGTTTGTTCTGAGAGGTGTTCATTTACTTCTGTTAACATGGACATGTTAAATTCTTCTTCTATATATTAATTCAAAATAAGCCTAATTTTTCAGAAAAGGCTTTCAGTACATGTTTGCACTAAAGCAATGTGTATAACTTACCCTGAATCTGGAGTGAAACTTCATTGAATTTTTGAAAAACCCATGCTAAAAAGTAAATGTTACATTTGTGATGCTTTATTTCCTCTGCCAAATTTTTCTCACCCGCATTTTCCAAGAAATTAAATATTGTATAAATAGGTTTACAAATCTGACCAGGAAGTTTTCTTTCAAAAACCAACAGACTTCTATATGGATAACAAGTCTTATATGCTGTTCTTTGGTATCAATACAAAACTTTCGAAAAAGTCTGTCATATTTTTTGCGAGACGTTATTTTATTGAGTGTTTTAATAATTACTGTCAATGTTTATGAAGATCAAGGCTAATATTTTTGGCAACTGAATGATGATGATGTCCTATGCAATGCACGGCAAGAATAGAAGGACATATATTTTTTAAATGCACAATAAATCCCTTATACTTACCAAACATGGATGGAGCACCATCCATTGTACAGGATACCAAGTTTTCAAATAGTACTGATTTTCATCAAACAAGATTTTGCATCTTTAAAAATGGATATTCCAGTAGTATCACACAGTTTGCAGTAATCATCTTTATAACAAAAATATGCCATAAGAATAGCTCTATTATCGCTTACCATATATTCGTCAATCTGAATTGTGAATTTAGTCCTTTTTAATTTTTCAACTGGTTGGCTTTCCACATCTGCTGACATTTCATCAATTCTTCTTCAGATTAAATCATTGCTTAGTGGCAATACTTTTAAGACATTTGCTGAAACTTGCTATAACACAGCTTTCATGAGAATTTCAAAGAAAGGCTTAATAAAATTTTCAGCAAGTGTATGTGCACTTTCAGTTTTTGCAATTACTTGTGCTATCTCATAAGATGTAATCAAGCCACTTTCATTTGCTTCTGTATTTTTTTCAAATAAGAAGAAAGAGTATTTCATTGGTTAAAGTTTTACTTTAAATTTTCAAAATAAACAGTGTGTTTGTTCACTTTGTCAGGATGTTTTCTTTTTAAATGCTCTAAATATAACACTTCTTGCCGGCTGGTCCTTGGTCAATGCTGCCACTGGCCATTAAAGTTAGTTGTTCAGATTTGTGCCTCACTCCATGCCATGTTGTATCAATTGATCACGGAGCTGGCAGAGATCAAATTGTCATCAGCAATTGTAGCGTTGACCTCATCCCAGCAAAGCTATGTCACAAAGGTAAAATAAAGAAAATGTTCTTACAGATGAAATAAAGAAAAGAGAGGAATTTCTTCAGGGTCTATTTCAATGCAGTTTATATCATTCTTTGTATATAGATATTAACCCTTCCCACTTTGAATTCTATCATGACACTTTGCTCAATTTCCCTATGTCTGGAACAAGCCTTAAATCAGAAGTTCTATCTGGTAGCAAGTCATATGGGATTCAGCTAAATAGTTAACAACCATCATCTGCACGCCGGAACTGGTGTCTCTGGAACTACTGGCTTGGTTGCTTCAGTGTTCTGCTTATATTGACTTTCACCCAAAACTAGTATGGGGGGGGTCTATGTGGTTAGGGGACCTAGTTTTTCCCTTATCTTCCAACAATAGCCCCTTTGTTGTCTGGCTCTGGATAATTAATCTCCAAATTTGGGGAGATCCCTTTTCCTATAGGCATCAGTCACAGGTATCAATCCGCCCTGATAACTCTCTTATTTGTGCCTCATACCAACACCTCCCAATGGGCTTAAGCAATTCCTCTGTCTTCCTCCTCCTCTCTCAGTATCTCATCTTTGCCTGTCACTTCAGTTGTGTTTGACAAATCTAGTTCTCAAACCGTGTGATGTAGCTTAGCTTCTGGTCATTAATTAGAATTATTATTTTTCATTTTCTTCAAAAAATTTTGTTTATACAATTAAAAATTTACCAGCTTTCTTCCAGTCAGTTATCTGTCTCATTAGGATCATCGCACTTTAAAAACCCTGGGTTAGGTTTTTACATAAAGAAATTCCATTTTCTTGACTTGTTTACAATTTCCACTTTTTGATAGGTTAAATAAATCAGTTTTTCAATTCTGCCTTGTCTCCAAAAATTACCAAATATTATCTCTTCCGTCCCTGGCTGATTCCTAGCTGTTTTCATAACTTCCACTTTAGGGCAGCATCATCAATCAGCTGTCAACCCAGCCTTACCACATGGCCACTGTGGTAATATCTTTCCAACAAAGTTACTTCCTTCTAGCAGTCTCTGCTTAAGTACTTATAAAATTGAAAGAAATCTTGCTTCCTTCCCTCAGTCTGTCTATCGTTCTATTCTTTAACCCTATTCGTCCTGTTCCAAACTTATATTTTTAATTTAACCCTTTACTTTCCATTTGCTAGTGTCACATGAAAACCTTAATGGTTTCATCGCTTCATTAGAAAATGAGCTGTTGCAAATAAGGCACATCAATTGCCTTTGATGAAACAGGCTTTCTACAAAGCCATAAGCCAAATACTCCTCTACATACTCTCTACATTTCTTTTTGGTACTCATGATTAATGAAAAAAGTGTTAAAAATATAGGCACCAGGACAACTTGACATCAGGAAAACTTAACTTTTTTCATTTTTTTAATTTTAAAATAAAATAAATAAAATGATTATAATTATTTTTCAATTTTTAAAATCAATATAAATATAATGATAATAATTTTTTTATTTTCTAAATTAATACAAACAAAATGATTAAATTTAATTTTTTTAATCTTTAAAATTAATATAAATGATTATAAATACTTTTTTTAATTTTTAAAATTTATATGAATAAAAAAAGTGAAAAAATTACTTTTATAATTATGCTTGATTTTTTTTTTATAAAATTTAAAATAATTTATTAATTTGATCATGTTGAAACCCAAAAAAATAAAAATTTCAAAATTCAAGAAAGTAAATTTGTCCCAGTGCTCAGTTGTCCAAAAAAAAAAAAATAAATAAAAAAATATAACACAGAAAAAATATTTTTACCTTGTCACTAACACCTGAATTAATCTATATAAATAAACGTGAATGTCAGTGTGTCACACTTTCGCAATTTTCCTCCTACAGGCCATGATTGACACACTTTCAAGAATGTGCAGTGTAATAACCTGCAAAGAAGGCCTCCTTAAACTATACAAAGATCTATGCCACCCTGGCATAATAAGAATGCTACATTTGACTTGAATTAGAAATTTACCTTTCTCCATGGAAGATGTAAAAGAAACTATAAAGAACTGCTGAATATGTGTTGAAATTTTATAAATTCTATAAACCCGACACAACAAGAACAATAGTAAAAGCCATGCAACCATATGAGAGGCTTGGGACCACTACTGTTTAAAACTAAAAACAAATATCTATTAACCATAATAGATGTATACTAGCATTTCCCATTTATAATTCCCTGTCCTGATGTAACTGTGATAACAGCAATCTGGACTCTTTATTCCTTTTTCAGGTTACCCGCCTATATTCAGTTGGACTGAGGGACCGCCTCTATGTCTGACCAGGTCAGACAGACCTTACATGAACAAGAAATAGCCATTAGTAAGACTACCTCATATAACCCACAGTCAATGTGAGAGATATAATGGTGTGATTTGGTAAACTATATAATTAGCAGCAGCCAATCACAGGTTTCCATTGATTGTTGAGCAAGTCTTCTACTAACTGCTTTACACGCTATGAGATTGTTAATATGCATGGTGATGAACACCACTTCACACGAAAGATTCTTTTTGTTCCAAAGATGCTCCATGGGCACTTCACTGCTATTGTGGCTGTCAAAACCAGGGACAGGGTTATTAAAACGCCATGTATGCCAGGATAAACAAGAACCACTAATAGATAAAGTAGAACTAAGAGAAGCCAATCCTCAATATGCCTTTATGCATTACCCTGATAGAAGGCAAGATATGGTCTCCCTAAGAGACCATACCCTGATGGAAGGGGGAGGCAAATCAGAAACCTCCCAAGAGCTCAGGATGCCAACCCTTGACACACTAACTGATGACTATTTACAATCTCCTAGCCCTAGTGGTATGAATCAAGCGCAGACAAGCAATTGATGCTACAAAAACTGCCCATCCTACCACTGATAATACCAACACTAAGAGTGAATTAAACTACCAGTGGAGAAGGCTGAAACATAAAAAAGTGAGACTTTCTGAGACTGAATTTCAGAAAAACAACAGCTATGAGACCTCCTCTGAACCAGACGAAGCAAACCCAGAAGATCCTGACAAAGTTGAACAACCACAAAACCCAAAATAGACCCACAAGATTACCTTTAAATGCATCAAAAGGATTTTCTATCATACAAGTAAAACAATAACCAAAGTAAAAATGTGATGATAATAAGCCTATCCCATCCTCCCCATTTCAATACTAACCACCCTGTATAAAAGGCTGTTTAATTACTAATGATTCAGTTTTGCTGAATAAAAAGTTTGGGGTATGGATGGATATGAAGTCACTGTATGGTTTGATGCAAGCTCCTTGGCTACTGGTGTCATTGTAGAAAGTTCTGGATCTTTGGTTTAGGATGCATGTTGGCAGTGACCATTACACAAAAGAAGCGCATTAACTTGGCAGAACTTGATGTGATGCTGGGAGATGTCAACCTGGTATTGCAGTGGAAAGTGACTGAAGACAGACTCAGCATGTGAACATCATTGAGTTTCTGATATGCTGTCTGGAAAAACGAGAGTGCACCCAAAGGCGGCATCAAACATGTTAAGACATCGGTTTGGCACACTCTGGAGACTGGCTGTGGAATATTGGCTAACTATTGATGTGGGGCTCATCAGATCTCATATAAACCAAGCTAATCAACTCACCTCAACTCAACGATGGCTAGATGCACTTCGAAAAGAAACAAAGCCAGTGTGTGCTGTGTCCATAGAACAACAGGAATCCACTCGTATATAGACCATCCATCAATGAAATGGGCATCCTGGTGTTAAGCACACATTTTATTTTGTAAAACAGGTCTTATGAGCAAACAAAAAACTGCTAATTTTAGATTGTCTATAAATTGTAGTCACATAATCAGTTGAGGATGT